TTATTTTTCAATAGCTATATGAAAGTAAAATTGATGTTCAATAGACTGTGCATATTTAAAACTGTACACTCATGAAAAAAATCACCAAATAATTACTTTTTCTTTTCTTTTTTTACCAAATAATTACTTTTTCTTTTCTTTTTTTACCAAATAATTACTTTTAAGGATTGTCTTAAGGCTTTAATTTTTATATGACTGTTTGATGATTTTTCATAATTGTTAATAGGAATACTAAACACACCAGAAGAAATGAAATAAAATATCTTGTTTTGTGTTTCTGCACTGTTATGTGTGATTTGTTCCTGTTTTTATTCATCCCATTTCCCATCCTTTTTTTTTTACTGCATTGATTGAGTTTTTATGTCCCCTGATGATTGGGAAGTTTTTCTACATGTTTATATCTTTTTAGTGGGTGCATACGTTTTGAAGCACATAAGCTTATTTTTCTTTATTAATACACTACATTTAAAGTAATAATTATATCCCCCATATCCTAAGAGGAGATTTTTTGTATGGTTTTCATTCAATTTGAGTCATATACTCCACTCCAAAAAGAAGAATCTCTTAGAATGTTTTTACTTCTCTCTTGCCTCCATCCTTCTCCATCCAATCTCTAGGTTTTATTGGAGTTCTTTGGAAGATTAGTTCACTTCTTTTATTGTAAAGTGTTCACACTATGTCCTGTCTCTTTAACAATGTCTCTCAATCTCTGAGAGAAGGGGGAACAAAAAGGGGGTATGGGGAGATAGCAATCTATAAAAGGTTGAAACTCGTGTTTGCTTTGGCAGCACATAAACTAAAACTGGAATGATGCAGAGAAGATTCGCGTGGCCCCTGAGCAAGGATGACATGCCAATTTGTGCAGAGCTCCATATTTTTATAAAAGTTGGAAGAGACCCTAATAAAATGATCTTTAAAAAAAGTTAAAATTCTATCTCTTGTTATATTGGAGTCAAGGGTCCTGTCTGTTGTTGTTGGCTGCTGTTCAGTGCACTGTGATGCACCGTCCCTCCATGCACACCAGAAGGAAACAGTACCCAGTCCTGTGCCACCCACACTTGATTCTGGATCAAACTTCTGGGCTCCATAGTGTTGGCTGATTTGGGGAAGTAGCTCTCCAGCCCCAATTGGTAGGTCAGGCCTGGAATTCTATCTTCCATGTGCGAGATCTAGGCAATATGTTTAGATTCTAGTATAGTATAACTTTTATTAGCTCTGTTCCTCTGGTTTCTCCGTTCTAAATAGCAAGGGGGTGGGGATGGAGCATAGAGGAGTGCATATGTGTGGTTTTCCCAGGGCAGAACTGAATGTGATTTCTGCTAACAGTGCTCTTGCTGGAAGTCTCATGCTCACATCCAATATGTTGGAAAGCCAGGAAATGTCCATTTATATGGCCTGGAATAAGAGAAGAACTTGGACTTCAAGTTGGTGGTGATCTTTTAGATACTGCCTCCTCGACTGCATCTTCCTCCTCTCCTGTCCTAGTTCTTTCTGCCCAGACAGGGGGCTTTCTCTCTGAATAAGCTGAGCATTCTGAGCCCACTTCCTTGTCAATGGCTGTCTTCATTCGTCTCAGACTGCTCTTCTATGAGAATACAAGGTTGCCTCGCTCTCACATTCACGTTTCCACTCAAATGACATCTCCAACTCTGCCCTCAGCACCAGTAGACCAGCCCTTTGACTCCTCATTACTCCATTTAATGTTTCATAACATTTCCTACCACAATAGAAGCGTGTGGTGAACAAAATCTTACTCTCCTCATTTGAACACCTTATTGGCTAATGTAAGATTATTGAATACTGAATGAATAATTCTTGAATAGTTCTTTTCTCTCCAAGAACTAAAAATGTATTGTCCTACCACCTTTTCGTTCTTGGAGCTACAAGTGAGGGTTCATTGCTAGACTGATTACCTTGCCTTGGAAATAACCTGCTCTCTC